CCAGGGAGTAAAGATTATGTAGCTTAAGCATGATTGATCATAGTTAAAGTGATTAATTACCGGCATGGCAGTTAAGAGGTTTTATTCCCTCCCTAACTTTAGGGGAAAATCCCTACCTGGGGAAACAACCTTTCTCAGAGAGGTGACCTTGGTTAAAACACATAGTGCCAAGAAGGTGAGCAAACATATTAAGAACAGTATGCCATATATGCCAGGTCCCTTGAAACAGCAAGGATGGACCAGCTCCCGGCATTTCCCCATAGCCTGGCTTTTAAAAGAGATTCTCCTTTTTAAATATGATTTTAAAACACTAACAAAACAAGTGTTTTTGTGTAGAAAAGATAGGTCATAAGTCCTCTTTTGGAAAAAGCAAAAAATAAAAATGCCACACGATGATGGTAGGGCTGACAAGAAAATTCAGTTAGAAATACCGGGTGATTGTGACATAATTTTTTCTTTAATTTATATGATCAACATGAATTTTTTGTTAAGGCATTCAGTGTAGTTTGTTTAACGTTATTTTTATGACTGTGGGATTAAGTAATGAGTATCTTGAGTTTCTTCCAGAATGGAATCTCTGCATGGCTGATTTTGGATGATTGCTCTCTCTCCGTGCTTTTTCCTTACTATCTTCAATTCTATATTTCACTCAGAAAAGGACTGACTGTATCAGTCGGGTTGGACAGGGCATGCTATGGTAACCACCCCTTAAATCTCAGTAGCTTACAGTATTTACAGCAGAGGTTTTCTTTCACATGCTGCATTTCTATTATGGGCCAGCAGGGGGCACTGCAGTCTATGCTTCAGCTGCCACCATCTCACCTCACGGGGAAGCTTCAGGCTTTAATATGCAGCTCTGGCAATTGGATGCCTCAGCCTGGGTGTAGCATTTCTTTTCACTTTGTCATTATCAAAGCTGGTCACGTGGTCATGTTTCACTTCAGGGAGGCAAGAGAGTGAATTCCTCTGTATCCTGAAAGTAAAAGGGAACTGGATATTATTGAATATTAATAATATTTACCACACTAAATCTTTTATAGGATGAAACAGATCTGGTTCAAATTTTCTTTTGGCATGAGTCAGGATATAGATCCAAAAATAGAAAGGTTTCAGTGTTTTATTGCTTGACATTCTTTTCACCTCAATACTTAAGTGTTCTGTAGCGGGGATCAGCCAGCTTTTTCTGTAAAGGTTCAGAGAGTAAGTATGTTAGGCATATAGGCCACATGGTGTCCAACAACCATGTTCTTCCCTCTCCTCTCATTCCTCTCTTTTTCTTTTTATACCTTTAAAACAAATTTTTAGATGGAGGATGGAGTGGGGAGAGGTAAAAAACAACAACCCAACAACACCCAAAACAGACTCTGCTGTATTTGGCCCAAGGACCAGACCTAGCCAAACAGATTTAGCCCATAGACTTTAATTTGCTGCCTCCTGTCCTATGGGAAAGAAAATACCCATTTTCTCTACTGAAAAGTATGGCAGTTTGTGACCTATATGTACTTTATTCATGTCTTTAGGGCTGAGAGAAGTATGTAATAAGTTCATCCTTGGTAAATACCCAGAACAGTCCAAAGATGAGTAATCTTGGACAATTTATTTAATTCTCTTGGAATGTCAAATTCTCAGTCTATCAAATAATGAGTCTGTATTAGATGATTTCTAAATTCCCTTCTAAGTCTGAGATGATGTGAGTGGACCTGGAATTTCTTGATCACACTCAGGTGGGAAGTAGGTCTCCCAGGTAGACGGAGTTGTTTGTGTTACCTCCTGATTGTGTCCTTCCCTTAGTTTCTTCCTCGGTGAGTCTCCCTGGGTGACTCTTCTGATGGGGAAAAAAGTGTTGCTATTGCTGGTGTTTTCTTGCTCAGCGTTATCTGGAGGCCTTTATTCATTGTATTTTATGTCATTTCCCTCCACCCCCTTCCCCCAAGGTTGTCAGCCTTTGTTTTACGATGTTTCCTTGAAGCTGATCATTACATAGATATTGATCAGAAAGTGTTACACAGAATATACACATGGCTCAAAGGACATCAGAAATCCAACGGTGAATTTTGGGAGCCAGGAAGAGTGATCCACAGTGAGCTTCAAGGTGGCAATAAAAGTCCAGTAACGCTTACAGCTTACATTGTGACTTCTCTCCTGAGTTATAGAAAGTATCAGGTATTTCATCTTTAATTTCATTAATGACGGGTGGGGAGTCACAGGAGAGGTAGGTTTGGATGGGTCCAACATGTGTCTGGAAACTTAGGGAATTTTGTATTTTATACCACATTTGAAGTATGAATTTGGGCATCCTTTTGCTTTGCATTTGTGACCACATTCCAAAATCTGAAAATAAAAATATTGACCCACTTTCTCAGAGTAACTAGGAGAATTCTAAGAATGCTTTCCAGTATAAATGTTGTACTCGCTGTTGGTAAGCTAAGTCAATTCCTATTTTATTGTTGGAAAGGTTAATTTCTTAGGGGACAGAGAATTCTTCAGAATTTGGGAGTGCATTTTATTAAATTTAGGTTGTGAAGGATTTTTTATTTCTAAAATATTATGGAGCAATTACAGTGTCTGCTCATTTAGTACAAAGTACGCCCACACTCTAAAAGACGTGTTAAGTGGGCATGGATGTCTGGTTGAGAATGAGTGTACGTGGAAAGTTATGCTAATGAGCTTAATTTCGCTCCAGAACTGTCTCAATGATTGATGCCTTTACTGCTTAATGCCGACTGCATTTCACATGATCAAACCCAGCCACTCTCTAGATTAAGCTCCTACTATTTTCCTAGCCCAGGTCTAGGTGTGCAGAAGAGAAACTTTCCCCTGAATTCAGAGCTTCAACCCCTGAGGTCACATATGAGAAGTGTCTTTCCTTAACTACATTGCATGCTTGAATCTGAATTCATGATATCCAATGGGAGAAACCCTGGCAAAAAGTTCTACTTTTTATTTCCTGTAAGGCACGGTGCCTATTTACTTTCAAAAACGGGAAAAGTCGTGTTATGGTTTAAACACATGGCAAATCCATGAATGTCCACGATCATTGTTGATTCCCATTGCCTAGGTCAAAAGTCAGGTGCTTCCTGGACGCTGAAATTATTTTTTGAATAAATGCTTGAAAATACTTTGGGGGTTCTTTTGAATGGTAAAATATATATATATTTTTCTTTCAAGCCTCATCTGGATGTGAAAAACTCTATCAAGTTTTTGGAGTCTGAGTTCCTCAGAGGAATCTCAGACAATTATACTCTGGCTCTTACGACGTATGCGCTGTCCTTCCTGGGGAGCCCGAAAGCCCAGGAAGCTTTGGATACCCTGATTCAGCGAGCAAAGCTGGAAGGTACATGCATAGCCATGGACACGAGCAGTGGGGTGTGAAGACCCGGGGGTGGGGTGAGCAGGGGCTAGGTGGAGGGGAGTACAGGGAGGGGGTGGGATGGGAGATATCTATAATACTAGCAACAATAAAAATATATTTTAAAAAAGGGGGTAACACGCAGGTCCTATTGGAGGTTGTTAGACTGTTGGGCACTAGGAGATATATAAATGACGTGAGAGAGTTTTGTAAGCCAGATATGAAGTTGATTAATTTACATCTTCTAAATGGGATGAAGCATGAAGCACAGAGGAGATCACAGGATTATGACATGGCCATGTTGCTTCTACTCCCACCAAGAGTTTTTCAGAGAATTTCAGGGCATGGGTAGTTTCTTCTTTTGGATACATTCTACCAGATGTCAGTTACCCATGTGGTTTTCTGATACCATTTCTGGTCTGGTGGCCTTGAGTGGTTTTTGAGACCTTGGTTTATGAGAGATTTGGGTTCAAATTCTGCCTCTGCTACTCCCCTTTGCGAGCTGCAGTTTTCTGAACTGTAAAATTGGAGTGACACCAACTTAAGGATTGCTGTGAAGATTAAATGAGGTAATGCACAGTGCTTGGTGCATGGTCCATGTTTAAAAATGGGAGCCGCAATGGTAATTAATAGAAACACAAATGCCAGAAAAATGCTGTTAGTGAATTATGGGTAGGATATATATATTTTTGAATGGAGACTATTTAGGGCAGTGGTTCTCAACCTTCCTAATGCCATGATGCTTTAATACAGTTCCTCATGTTGTGGTGACCCCAACCACAAAATTATTTTCGTTGCTACTTCATAACTGTAATTTTGCTACTGTTATGAATCGTAATGTAAATATCTGATATGCAGGATGTACTTTCATTGTTACAAATTGAACATAATTAAAGCATTATGTGATTATATATGTGTTTTCCCGATGGTCTTAGGTGACCCCTGTGAAAGGGTCGTTCGACCGCCAAAGGGGTCGCAGCCCACAGGTTGAGAACCGCTGATTTAGGGGCTACAGCAGGGCAAAACCTACGGATGTTGTTACTTCCCAAATGGCCTCTACAGTCAGGGACTCAGGGTGTGTGTGTGTGCTTGTGAATGTGTAGTTAGATAGATATGGGGATGAGTGGGCTGAAACAGCTGTTTCAAAGCCCTGTTAATTCAAGAAGGGATAACTGTAGAAAGTATTTTGAGACTTCTGAGGCTGTAACAGATTGAACCCTTATCACCTATTGTTGTGCTGGGGATAAAGATTATTGCACAGAGGCTGAAGCAGTCCTTGACGTATCTTCTTCTCTGCTTGGCAGTTATTATACATTCCACCCAAGTGTAATCATCATCTAAACAGTAATATTTGGGGGGGGGGTACCAAATAGGATGCTCCTCCAGGGGCTTGTAGGAATATCTCTAGGACGATTGTTGAGTTGGCCAGGGTCCCTCATTTTTTTCTTGGGGGCTTGGATTTGGAACTTATAACACCAACTTTCAGATCATGAAGGAGAGGTTTCCCAGAACATTAGAGCTGGTTAATGGCTGATTTCCAGAGCAGGGTTCTTTCCAATGTATTCTCAAATATTTTTGTGATGGCCTATTCAGAAAAGTTATGTACATTATTTTCTGGAATATAGTATGTTTTTTTCCCTTTTATTTATAGCTATTGAGTCTAGAGCCAAACATATGGATATCTTTTTGGGAAAATATTTTCATGAAAACATCCTCACATATAACCAATAGGGGAAGAATGAAAATTTATGTTTCAATAGTTTAAAAAGTGACGTATAAGTACATGTTTATATCTGTGCATGCATGTGTGTGTTTAAATGTACATGTTTTATTTGGCATACATATATACATATAAAGCAATAGAAATCATTTTATGTTAGCCAACTAGAACTTGGACCAGTGTAAGGATACTTAATGGTATAAAATGTAGGTCTTCTGTCATTGGTCATTCTGACATTACTTTTCTCTTGCAGGAGACATGCTATTCTGGGTGTCATCAGCGTCTGGACTTTCTGAGTCCTGGCAGCCCAGATCCCTGGATATTGAAGTCGCAGCCTACGCGCTGCACTCACACTTCCTGCAGAATCGGGTTTCTGATGGAATCGCAATCATGAGGTGGCTGAGCAGGCAAAGAAACAGCCTGGGAGGTTTTGTATCTACCCAGGTGAGTCACGACAGTTTTTATTTATTTATTTTTTTCAATATATTTTATTGGTTTTAGAGAGGAAGGGAGAGGGAGAGAGAGAGGGAAACATCAATGATGAGAGAATCATTGATAGGCTGCCTCCTGCACGCCCCCTACTGGGGATTGAGCCTGCAACCCAGGCATGTGCCCTTGGCCGGAATCAAACCTGGGACCCTTCAGTCCACAGCCGACGCGCTATCCATTGAGCCAAACCAGCTGGGGCAGTCATGACAGTTTTAAATTTATTACCCATCCATCCATCCATCCATCCACCCATCCATCCATAGCTTTAGGAAGTATGTAGTTGCTTTTTTATCATGATTTCATCAAATTACTTAGCAGTTTAAAAGTTAAGTAACTTAAGCCAAAGGTTTAAATTACTCATTTTAACTTTTTCTCATCATGGATATAAACATCGCCTCTGATATTTATAGGGAATAAATTAGTTCCCCATCTGTATTAGCCATTTTCCCATCCGTGGTAACTGATATTGTAGATGGTGAGTTCTGTCCAGCCGATATTTTCTGAGCCTCTCAAGGAGATTCAAAGATGAATAAAGGAGACTTCCACTCTCAGGGAAGGGGGATGACTGTATAGCGGGGTTCCTAAACATTACTGTATTTGACCTTGATGTATACTTATATTCACACATGGTTTTTCTTTTCTCAACAGGACACCATTGTGGCCTTGAAGGCCCTGTCTGAATTTGCAGTCCTGATGAACACGGAAGGGGCACATATGCAAGTGGCCATAACGGGGTCTGTGGCACCAAGTCCTGTAAAGTTTCTGATTGACGCACAGAACTACTTTATCCTCCAGTCAGCAGAGGTGTGGACAAGGGGTGGTTATTTAAAATTCTGTGCAGATGACTCCGTAGGGTAGAAAATGGGTTTAACTCCGTTCTATTGACTCAACAAAGACTTGTTCCCAGAGCCCTGTAGTGACTGGGAGGAAGGAGCACACTCCTTTGGTTGAATTTGCTGAGCTGGGGAAGGGAGGAGGGGATGGGAATTTTGAAAAGGAGAAAACATGGGCCCTGACCTATTGGGACCAGAATGAACACCCATTGAGATACTATTCTTTGCAGGAATCGTGCTCAATTTCTTTACATGTGCTACTGCACTTATTTCTCAAACCAGCACTAAGAAGTAAGTTCCATCCAGCAGATATTTTCTTACTTTTATCCCTATTGTACACATGATAAAACTGAGGCTGAGAGAGGTTAAGAACTTGCTCGAGATCATGCTATTAACAACAGCAGAGCTCCGACTTGAACCCATGGTTTCAAAGACCATGTTCTTTTCAGCTGCCCCACCTGTCCTCATTAGAAAATTGATAAAACCAGTATTAGAATTCTTACTTTGATATGGAATAAAGGCCTATGCTAGACCCTAACCTTATCTCCCTGGGTAACCTTGTAGGAACTTGAGGGTAATGGATGAAAGTAATAATTTCAAGGCTGGAAACTGAGGAAGAGGGGTTATGGCAAAGGAAAAGAAGGAATAACCTTAGTCATAGGCAATGATGATGTGTCACTGGGTGCCCAGCATGACCAAGGGATTAGGCACTGACTAAGGGAGGTCAGTGGAGAGAGCTGGTGTGTTTCTTGTCTTTCATGCATCAGCCCCTAAAGAAGGGCAGGCCCACCCCTAGCGCTAATGTGCTGTTCTAAAGGGCAGAGGTGAGGGCGTGTGAAGAGTGGGCGTTACTTTCTCTAACTTCACTTCTGTCATGGTTGACCCAGAGCTTTTGATATGTGAGGCCCTGTAAAGTTCTTAGAGCTTTCCACAGATGGCTCACACTGTATCCCTGATGAGGAATCACACTGACCTCTTGGGCTACTTGGAAGGACCTAGATATGGAAAATTCACCTTATTCACTTTCCCCCACCTTTATTCAGCTTGCTGTGTCAGTGCCAATTGAAGTTAATATTTCCGCAGATGGTTATGGATTTGCTGTTTGTCAGGTATGTAATAATATTTGGTTAAATATGACTTGCTATAACAATTCTTTGGTTTGGGGCACTGCTAAATCTTTAAGTTAGGCAATGTATAGAATCCTTAATGATTTATTTATATGAGTTAGGCAAGATAAATCACTATTAGAGACATTATTAGCTAGAGAACAGACAGCAACTCTATGGATTGATAATCTATTGGATAAATATTGCTTGGTTATTATATACAGCTTGAAGTGAGGACGAAAATTCTCCAACACTATTCCTGTGAATTGTTGGGAACTCCCACATTATTTTATGAAAATAGAGCTCTGAATTTTAATGCTATGACTTGATAAATAAATATGCATTTTACTTACAGCTTAATATTCATCAAACAATATAAAGGTCAACATGGCATTACAAGTAATTGACCTAAAGATAGGAAATGTGTCCTGTACTAGAGCATGAAATGGTTAATGTTCTGGTACAGGAAGAAAATCCAAAGAAATCTGCCTTTTATCATGCAATCGGGATTAGAATAAAATGAAAGTAGCATGAAAAATACAGGATGAAATATAGGATGAAATAATTATTATTCTAAATAATACATGAAAATCATAGGAACTAAAAATCATTTCATTAGAAACCCAATATAATATGTGATAGGACCAACAATGATTATGTGCTTGATTAGAAAAAACAAACCAAACAAACCCTGAAAGATTTACTGAAAAATTTAAAAAAAAGGCTATTATACAGAAAATGGACTTTTTTAAAACACAAGGACAGTTGTTCTAGACAAGAGAACAGAAACACTTGCTAAGTAAGGCAGAAGCTTAGGTATAATTTGGGAACTTCCAAATAATTCTAAGATTAATTTTTCTGATACTCAGAACAAGTGAATGTTTTTTAAAAATCAAGGAAAAATGATCACAGTTAAAAGGAATGGTATTCAATGAAAAAGATGGAAAGAAAAAAGAGCGAAGAGTTTGTATTGGTCTTTACTAACAAAGACCGGGTGAAAATTCTCATTCCTAAACCATCTTTCAATGCAAACAGTAAATCTGAAAGTAAATACACAGGATATTTTAGATACAATTGGAAAATTATATAAGTACACTTTAGTCACCAAATTGGTTGGCACTCATTCTCGATAAACCAAATGTAGACAAATTCCTTAAGCCAAGTGATTTTTACTTGAGGTTTGAAGGGCACGGCGGTAAATATGGCACCTACTGGTCAGAATGTTCATCAGTCCTATGTGTTTATCAACGTGCAGAAAACAAAAGGTAGGGACTAAAAGGCACTGCGCATGATGGAGAAAAACATTGCAGAAAGAAGGTCACGCTGGAATAAATGTTGAGACTTCCTCTAGTTGATATTTTTCTAAGGGCCCTGGAAAAAGAATGGCAAAGAAAACTCTCAGTTTTACAGTAAATGTTAATTTCTTTTGAGTAATAAAATGCCAAGCTGTTGGAAATAAGCTGTAAGATCTTTTGAAGTTCTCTGAGTGAGCAGTTGAACTTTATTGTGGGCCAAACATAAACCCTAATACTTAGTTATAGATGACATTACTTATGTCCCAGAGGACAAATTTAATAGTCCTTGTTTGTGTCCTAACGGTGTTGGTTCTTAAAGGACAATTGCATGCCACTGGAAGAGGGATGATGAAAGTAATAGCGATCATCTCTCCAAATTTATGAAACCATTCCTTCAACTGCTCCAAAAATACTCTATATAATTTTAGTTGTAGTTAAAGAAAGAGTTGGAGAATTCCCAGGGTGAGAAAACAAGAATGATCAAGGGGATGAAGGATTTGAGCTAGGAGTGGCTGAATGAAAAGTTGGAAATCTTGGGTTTAAAAGATGAAGGCTCAGAGAAAGGATTTTTAATAGTATGTAAATCCACAATGGCTATTAGAGGTTTAGTTCTCTCTGTGTGTGATTTAAGTATAAGGCAGAAAAAAAAATACAACTTACATAGCAATAGGCAGGCTTATGAACCTTGGATCAAAAAATGTGGAAGAGGTAAAAAAATTTAGATTCCAATTCAACGTGGCATGAGGCAGGCCTAGAAGATTTTCCCAAGCTTCTGATCTTAGGATTCATTTGAGTAAAACACTGGTTCTCACACTCCCCAGTGTCCACACAGCACCTCACATTATTGGTGGACACAGAGTATGTATATGCTGGAAAAGACCCAGTTGACTTGAAAACCGTTATTTATTTTATCATCTCCAAAAGATATATGATAAAAAAAGAATCCTGAGCAGTTGAATAGGTTTCTGTCCCACCAAGGCTCTTAGATGTTTTAGTTTTGTTTTATCTTAGAGTTTCTAAGGTTCCAGTGTGTGAAAGAAGACTTCAGTTGGGCAGCAGAGTTTAGAAATTAGTGGACACTCTTAAGAAAGTTGGCAATAGATGTTTCTCTCTCTCCTCCCCCAACCCTTTTCACTCTCTGAAACTCAAGGGGAAAAATACCCTAAAGTGAGGATTAAGAAGAAATAATAATAAAGAAAGAAAGTTGGCAATAGTTTCACTTTTTCCCAGTAGAGAATGTTTTACATTCTTTGGAAGAAAACAATACCCATGACTATCGTTCATGATAATCTATGACACTTGTTTTGGAATGTTAGCAAACTTTTCTCAGTTTCAAAAATCATTACTTATAAACTTTCATAACAATGTTTGTTACTAATGATACTTTGTTAGCTAGTAAAACTAATTTTTTTCTAGGTTGGAGTTTGTGAATGTAGTTGATAATCATTACCTAACATTTAGAAAACATAATGATGGTAATTTATTGCTAATTTGTTATTAATGCTAATTTGTTATTTTTGCAGCTAAATGTTTTTTATAATGTGAAAGATTCAGAGTCTTCCAAAAACCAAAAATCAATCCAAAGTCAAGAAGTCTTTGACTTAGCTGTTGCTGTAAAAGATAATGAAGATGATATCAATCATTTGAATTTGAATGTATGCACAAGGTTGGTATCTGTTTAACTCTCCTCATTCCCCTTTACAAAAGAAAAGATTTGAAGATTTAATTATTTATATATATCTAACTATATCAATACAGAAGGAGTTACATTGAACAAAGATTTGTTATGCATTATACTTTAGACTTCAACTAGAAATGTGTGAACTGCTAATAATATTTAAGCATTTCTCAATGTGTCCAACATTATTTACAAGTTTTCTTTGTGCTTATAAAAACTTTGCATGGAAAAATTTACTAAAACTCAGGTCTAATTGATGAAAACTGGAAATTAACCAATCACATTTAATACACCCAAATTGGTTATTTCTGGTTGTTTTTATGTCATTTTTATGTTAAGCAATTATTCCAGGTTCATATTTAGTATTCAGTGTTATTTTTTTTTTAATTTTATTTGTTAATCCTCACCTGAGGATATTTTTCCATTGATTTTTAGAGAGAGTGGAAGAGAGAGGGAAAGACAGAGAGAAACATTGATGTTAGAGAAAATGTATCTATTGGTTGCCTCCTGCATGAGCCCTGACCAGGGTCTGGGTCGGGGAGGAGCCTGCAACCAAGGTACGTGTCCTTGACCGGAATGAAACCCAAGACCCTTTGGTCCAAAGACCGACACTCTATTCACTGAACCAAACCAGTTAGGGTGAATGTTATATTTTTAACTCAAAATTTCATAAGAGCAGACAAGTTCAATGAAGAGAATAGTTTCATTTTCTTTTTTTAGATAGTGAAAATATTCCAATTTAGAAGGTCTCACCGTGGATAATTAGGCACTTATAGCTTCTGGGAGTACGTGTAAGGTGTTTGTAAATTTGGCTTGTATCCAGTGCATCTGAGGATCTTGTTAAATCATAAGGAAAAAAGGCTCCACTCAAAGGTCTAGTGGAGCGAGTCTGTGAAGTTGTGGTCCTCAGCTTTCTGCTCATTCTAACACACACACGAGTTTGAGAGCAGCTCCTTTAGAAAGTTCTTTTTTTAAAAAGGCATTGTTTATGGATCTCAGAGAGGAAGGGAGAGGAAGAGAGAGAGATCCATGATGAGAAAGAATCGCAGACCGGCTGCCTCCTGCACGCCCCCTACTGGATGAGAGAGAAACACCAATGATGAGAGAAAAATCATCTACTGGCTGCCTCCTGCCTGCCCCCTACTGGGGATCTAGCCCATGACCTGGGCATGTGCCTTGACCAAGAATCGAACCAGTAACCTCCTAATTCATTGGCCACTGCTCAACCACTGAGCCACACCGGCCAGGCAGAAAGTTCTTGAATCAAGAGACTTTACAGTTGGGATTGCTGAGCCAGCTGCAGTCAGCAGTTGTACTGTATGGCTTTTCCATCGGTCATCGGTTCGTTGCTCTAAAAAGCAAGATTTTCTGCCAGCCCTGCTGGGGCTTGCTGCGGGAAAGGACCCCAGGAATTCACTTAACAGTGCTATGATCCTTTCATGTTGGAGACACACTCCTTCCCGTAACCACGCTGGGCTCCTTCTGCTCCAAACAGAAAGCTCTTGCCAGCTCTTCATTTTAGAAAAATATTTACTTTAAAGGAGACAAAATGTTGTTGGTGCCCAGGTGCTTTGATGCGGACGTTGTGTACAGCAGTGTGAGGGGACGAGGAGGTGTGATAAAACTTCCCGAGGCTGGTCCCTGTCTCCAGGCGGCCAAAGAAAACACAAAATGCGCTCCAAGTCTGCGGGAGAACAAAGGGAAGGACGTAAAACCAGATGAAGGCAAGGTTGCTAAAGACTTGGCCTAGCTCTGCTGCAAAGTGGTGGCAAACGATGCCTCGGTGTCAGTCCTGGCTTCCTGCGGGAACCTCTCGGGCTGTCAGCTTTTGAGAAAATGCAATTCAGTTTGGAGTCACCACTCTGAAAACAGAGGTGCCTGCTTAACGGGCACCTAGGTTGTACCTGTCACAACCTACCCAGGCCTGTTGCATGGCAGGCATTTCGCACTGTCTGCGAAGTGCACACATTTTCTACCATTATTCCTCCTGTGGTTGGAAGTGACCAGGCGCTCACGCCTGGAAGGAAAGGATGACCTGTTTTACAGTTTTCTGCAGTGACTTTTATTGGAACGATATAATAATATTTGAAATGACACTTGGCAGTTTTAACTTTTCTATGAAGATAGTTTGCCAGCAGCTTTTGGGTTTTCTTCCATCCTTTCCTTTCGATGTAGGTTTCTGGGCACAGAAAGGAGTGGCATGGCCCTCATGGAAGTGAACCTGCTCAGCGGTTTCATTGTGCCGTCAGATGCAATTCCTCTGAGCGACACAGTGAAGAAAGTGGAGAGCGATCAGGGGAAACTCAACCTATACTTGGATTCTGTAAGTAGTGAAACCTGTTTCATCCTGGTGACCATTGACAGAGCCTCCATTTCTGATGTTCAAAGTCTCCCTTACTTTACGCATGTTTTCTTTAAGTTGTTATTTCAGCGTTTTGTGTCCCTGAGTGACTTTAACACAACAACCTTATATTTGTTCTCATTAAAAAGACATCATTATAGAATTAGTTTTATTAAAGAGCATTGCTATTAATGATGACCCCGGTGAAAGTCTTGATGACCAAATCATTATTTCATGCCAGATGTAAAATAAATATATAGAAACTGCCACATTAGAATTTTAAAAATCAAGTCCAGATCTCACTTTGAGAACCCCTCCCTCACCTCAGGGAATTGCTAAACGTATTTGTTTAAATGCTGATGATGAAAGCTTTAATTACATGTTTTAAAATGCTTTTATGAAGCTTTAAATAAATCCCAAAGTGGGTTAATATTCCTGCATTGATGTCAGGTGCTTACATCATAGCAGAATATTTTCAGAAGTTTGGTCTTTACATGTAATTATTACATAATTTTCATACGTACTTCCCATTGCTGTATGAAAATTGTTGGTTCAAGAATAAGGTGCATAAAATATGTGAGAATAATGTAAGTGAAGAATTCAAGACTCTACTTATATCTCAAAACCGCTGGTCTGTAAGTTTATTCTTTTCTTCTAACATCTATATGAAATTCATAGGTTGAATTGAAATTGAGTTCTAAGTGTTTTAGGATTTCATGTTACATGGGGGGAATATGTATTTTTTTAAATTCCAGTTTTGCCAAATATGAATCAGAAATATATTGCTTTAGCAATATATCTACTTTTAAAAAGCTAGTTCTTGAATGTTCTCATTGTTTTAAGACTTCAAAAGTCACTCTGGTTAAAAACCTGTTAAAATTAATTCAGGGTCTCTAGGATTCTTTTGCTGTTCAGGAATTTTCTTATACTAAATAACTGCTTGAAAGCCACCGGCCTGATTTAGAACTTGAAGGACAAATTTAGAGTTTTTATTTAATAACATAATTAGTTTTGAAGTTTGTCCTATACCCGAGATGTTCTTGTTAATAGTTATTTTAATTTGAGTGTCCATTATGTTTTGACAGATTAATTTGAATTTTTATTTACTGCTAATTGGTAGATTATGGAATATTTGAAGGCATTTGTCAATTTTGGATTCCTTAACCAGTTTTGTTTGCCAGCTTGGCATAAGCTGCCCCTCTTAGAAGCCAGGAGGCTGGCCTTTTGTACTTCCTATCAGTCACTGGCTGTGGGGTGCTCCCGCCTCCCCGGTGTACCCGTCCATCCCAGGGTTACCTCACTCACTGGGAGAAGTGGCTCCTGTGAGCTGAGGGCCTTTCTCCAGATAAGGGGCTGCTGAGAGCTATTAGCAGGAACTGCTGTGGGTGCACTGCCCGAGGCAGGGGGTCTGAGTGAGGCAGCAGGGCCTCAGAGCATTTGTCCTTGGGATTGCTGCTTGACCACTCAGTATCTCTCGCTCTCAGTAAAATGGGAGTAAGAACAATACCTGTCCTGTAAGGGTAGTTTATGGTTAAATGAGATAATTTATATAAAGTGCCTACCACAGTGCAGGGCATGTAGAAGTGCTCCCTAAATGTTAGTTTCTGTATCTGTCTCCTAAAATGATAAGAAAAAGAAATATCTTTTACTTTTTTATGAACACAGAGTCTGCCATTTTCTTAAAAGTCTTTTGTATTTTTCAAGGTAAATGAAACCCAATTCTGTGTTGATATCCCTGCTGTGAGAAACTTTAAAGTTTCAAATGCACAAGATGCTTCTGTGTCCATAGTGGATTACTATGAACCAAGTAAGTGAGTTCTGACTTCCTGTTACTTTAGGAGTTAAGCTAGGCATCCACCCGTCCATCCCTTCATTCATTCACTCACTTATTGACCATTTATTCAAAGTGGTCACCAACTGGATTGGTTTTGTGGTGGGGGGTATTGTTAGGGGAAGTGTAGGAGGTAGGGGAGCAGGAGGTAAGCTTTTCATTTAAATAAAGACAACTGATCATTTACAAGGTCCTTGTGGGATATGTTGGGGAACCACTGATGTTGAACCGTGTTTCTGCCAGAAGGGCCGGATATGCTGCGGAGACGCAAGGATAGTACCTAGTTACCCAACTTTGTTATTTGACCTCGCTGCAGAATTTCCCAAGTGATGTTCCTTAGGTGTTACAGAGAACATTTTCAACCTTTAAGAAACCAAAGAGGTTCAATCTATGTAAATTTACTTTTGTGTGTGGAAAACAACTTATTTATGAGAGGCACGTTTTTAAATGAACATGTGGGAAAGATCAGAATTTTAAAAGCCTACCATCTCATTTTTGAAAATCCTAAAGTTAGAAAACATATTTATAACATTAAAAAATTAAATAGGAAGAAATTTGAAGTTAGAATATTTTTGAAAATTGTAAAAATTAAAGTAATTTGTTTTATAACGAGTTCATTAGAGTGTTATAAGTGCTTTATATAGTTTGTTTCATATTAGCTTATCCTATAAAATTTACTAAAGCTGAGTACTTTTTAGAAGATTATGTTCTCAGTGTTTTAAAGCAGCAATTTTTAATCCTTTTCATCTCATGGCACACATAAACTAATTACTAAAATTCTGCTGCACCCCCACAAAATATAATTTTTTGCTGATCTGACAAAAAATAGGTATAATTTTGATTCATTCACATTGGACAGCTATGGTTGTATTGACTGTTGTCCTTTTTTTACTTGGCAATCTAAGGGAAAGGAGGTCAGTGCCCCTGACTCAATCGAGAGGTATTGCATGTTTTAAAAATTCTTGCGACACACCGGTTGGAAAATCACCGTTTTAAAGCATTGAAAGAAGGCATTGCATAAGCGGAGTTTTCTTCATATTTTTGTACTTTTAAATAAAGCCCTTTGTAAATATCTTTCTGTTTTTTAAAAAAATTAATTTATTTTTCAATTATAGTTAACATACAATGTAAGTATCTCTTTTCAGTAGTCCTCATGATCAGAACTTTACTCGAATGCACAGACAATATCGCTCTAAAAGAGACTCTGGAGGCAATGAAACAACCCTTAATTGAAAGTCTTTCCCATTCCACGAGGCTACAGGGTGGGCTTGCCCCAAAGCAGGCTGCTGCAGCCCGTTTTCTCTGTTCATGCAGGCAACTGTGGGTGGTGCACAGATTGGACCGAAAGCACCGTTTCCCACTTGGAATGGTTAGCAGAGTGGGCCCCTCTGGAGCGTTTCACTTGTTTCTTGTAAAGAAAAATAAAATTGTATGGAGAATGGAAAACTCAGGAAAGTGTATTGAAATGCTTTTAAGCTTTGGCAAAGTAAACGTTTCTAAACAAGGGAGACGTGTAAACTGATGTCCTCCTCTTTGAACAGGGAGACGAGCGGTGAGAAATTACAACTCCAAAGTGAAGCTGTCCTCCTGCGACCTCTGTAGCTGCCCCTACGAGAGCGAGAGCAGCGCGCCGGCCGCCCTCCGTCACTCTCCCGTTGTTTTTGTTTTCTGTTTCATGCTTCTGTTCTCTTTGCAGCGTTGGCTCTGACTTCCTTTCTAAGGGCTCTGTGGAACCCATTTCCAGAGTCACACGTGATTGTCTTATTTTCATAATCCAATGTTGCTTCTGACTATTTTGAAAAACAATTTTTTTCCCTTCTTTTTGTGGGGTTGAGGGGGATGCTGTACCACAGGTCCTAGTAGGTATGGCTGCATAGATTTCTTCACCTGACTTCCGTGTGCAACAAAATGTCGAATTCTTGCAGCTGTATATCTTTATTTTTCCCCTCTTTAAAATATTTTAGGATTTTGGAGGAGGTGTTGTCTTCTCCAGAATAAATGTGTTATTTTAGATCCATTCTTCTTTTCATTTTCCAGAGGAAATGAGGTTCTTCAGACTTGTTAAACACCAGTCTTTCCCTGAGTATTGATAACCTAAAAATAAAAGGCCAACGCTAGAGGCATCAGCATTTATTTGAGATAAAAAGGAATCGTTACTCGGAAAGCACTGATTCAGGCAGAAGCCCAGATCGTGTTCGGGTTAGGAGACAAAGACGAGGGGGATTTATGAGAAAGGGAAGGAAAGCAGTGACATCCTTAGAAGGAAGATGCTCCTGTTGCTGCAGATAAGCTAACCTAGCGACGTTTGATGCTGAACCATGTGTTTCATTTTCATTCCCGTAGCCCCATAGGCACAACAGCTGCTTCCTTGCTGTCCTTGCAGACGCAGTGCCGCTGGAGGTTATTTGGCCCCGTGTTAACCCCCCAAAGGTGTGAGGCATCAGGCTCGCAAGGCAGCTCCTTTGGGATGGCAGCTCTACTCCATTTTAAAGTAGCTTCGATCATATTAGTTTTTAGTGTTCAAGACGAATTCCCTGAGAACTGGGAGAAAACAGCCAGAAGGAGGAGCGTGTTCTGTCCCCTTCCCACATCCACCTTAACACTGCTCCCCAGCCCAGCCCACCGCCATGGTCTCTGTACCTCCTTTGCCATTGCAGATCACACCCCCCTTTTTCCAATGTAGACGGTGAATTTTTTAAAATCAAAATGTGGTTTTTCCACTCCAAATGTAATCATATACCACATACCTTTACTCTTCCTCTATTTTTCTTCTGGGGAGAAGAATGGGAAAGGGAATGTGTTTCTTGTGCTTCGCTGGTGGGGGCAGCGGTTGAGGTGTTTACAGAAAACTACCCGGAAGGGTCCTGGGTATGCTGTTCTTCTCATGTCCTCAGCCCGCACGCTGGCTCTGTTTCAGGGGGAGGGTTGGAGCGCGTTGCAATACTTGCCTTACATGATTTAGACTAGAAGGCCCTAGGCCAGGAGACGCACGTTTTGTTAGGAATAGGGTGTGGTAAGCCAGGGCTATGACAAAATCTTCAATGAGTCATGGCAGAGTGACCTCTCTGGTCTGCAAAAGCAGCTGAGGTTTGCCAGGGACCAGAGTCGTGACGTGATGACTGAAGTGAAGTATGTAGGGCACTGCCGGGGACCTGCCGAAGCGCTTCTAGGCTCCAGCGTCTGAGCACCACACTGAGGCCATCTGGGGCCACCTGATGCTTGCTGCGAATACTTAAAAAGTTTCCTGAATTGTGAGCACCTGGGTCATAATATTCATTTATCTGGGTGAAATCTTTAAAGAAGAATTCCTTTCCTCTTCTTTCTCTTTTCTCTCCTCCCTCTGTCTTCCCTTTCCTTCTTTTTTCCTATTTCCCCTTCTAAATATATTAAGATATATTAGCTATATAAAAAATAAATGAAAGAACTTTTACTAAATCTAAGAAATGTTTTAATATTACTCCTTACGTCTGTGGCATACCTCTCAAACGGACCTGGGAAAAATAATTGCCATGGGCTCCAGAGAGTCTGCATTACAATATTTTCAACTGTTTACAGATAAAGCTGTCAAAAATAAAGTATGCAAATATACCTTTTAAAATGAATTTAAAGACAATTTTATTTTTTGTTAACTTTAAGAAAGTGTAGTCAGGTGGATGTTCATGTATTACTGTTTATGGATATGTTGGATACCAAAGTAGAAATCACCAGCATTCAGTGCTTCAAAGTTTGAGAGGTCTATGGAGACGGAGCAGTTAAATATCAAACAAATAATTTTCCTGTGTTTGTTTCCAAGTGGGGAAAAGTTCTGTCACATTGTTGAACACTCTGATCTAGAATAAGCATTGTTATATGTAATTAGATATCACATGTGTGGGCCTCCTGTATGGTGTAATAAAGCTGGCGATGGGGGGTAGGGGAGGACAAAGGTACCTCCTACCCTGCCCTGCTGACCACCAATACCTTATATTCTTTGGTGAATAATTTATACTGAACTTTGAGTGTAATATATTAGAAAACCCTAGAATGGACAGGCCAGTGGAAGATAGTTTGAATCTTTTTTTATTTTATCCTCACCTGAGGATATTTTTTATTAATTCTAGAGAGGATGGGAGAAAGGAAAGGAGGGTAGAAAGGAGGGGGAGGGAAATGGGATGGGGAGATAGAGAGAGACAGACAGACATTGATGTGTGAGAGAAACATTGATCCATTGTCTTCCATAACCTGCAACTTTTGGTGCATGGGATGATGCTCCAACCAACTTAGCCATGGGGCCGATTTACTGATAGGAACTAATTTAAAGCTGCCCCCTCCCCTCTTTTTCCATCAACGGGGAGCCTTATTAAGTAACACCAGCATTCCTCACTTCCAGTTTGGAGTGAACAATGGTTCCAGAGACTGAATGTTGGGAAAACTAGTAGCAAAACAATTCAAGAACAGAACAATGCTTTTATATTTGTTTTCACCATCTTACTACCCATTGTACTCTATGTTTTCCATATGTTCTAATAATAATATCTTTGTTTTAGTATGTTGATTATAGTAAAATTCAAGGAGTATTGTGCTAATATAAAATCCAGATATGTATCTATTACCTAACAGTTTGTTACTTCTATATGGAATACCATATCCTACATGTGGAAATTTTCAGAATTGTAGATAGCATAATTCTCCCTGCTCTCATTCTTTTAAACCTGGGTATAGTTATTTTTTTTAAAGTTATGTTTAGCCCTAATTTCTGTTTATGTTAAATATAGTTATAAATAGTCTGGCAATATAACATCAATTATCTTTATTTTGATATAATTCATTTATTTCATTAAACATTTCTGGCTGTCTTATGACATTTTTTAAAAAATTGGAGCTATGATTTCTTTGGGCCATTTTAAAAAAAAAGCCATCTTAATAGCCTGTTGGTATGTAATCTGGAGTTATTTGTAACAGCCTTACTTTTTATAATTTGAGTTATTGAAGTTTAATACTGATTTCTATAAAACTATGTTGTAAAAACCGCCTTGACAAGGTTTCTTAACACAAGGACAATACATATTTTGAGCTTGCCAAGTGGCTACTATGGGTCCAGGTGCCATTGTATATTTATCCTTGGGTGCGTCATTTTCTTGCACATTGTAAATCTGCGACACTTATAGTAAGTGGATTCACTCTTGGGTAAGCCTCAGAACCTTTTATACTCTCCATAGAGGCTTCTGTTAAACAGAAGCGCATAGTCTTCACTTTCCTTTGTTTTCAACTTCTAGTAAAGCATAATACTTGTAGGAACTTAAAATTTTTCTATTTTCTATTCGAATGACTTTTATGTTAAGTATCTTAAGTTACATTGGGAGTAATTGGAGTTGCAATTATTTTTACCACTACTTTGAATAGAGGTCTGTTGTTTTACTTCAGGAAACTAAATATTAACTATACATTTTTTAATTAAGTCCATAGCAGTGGGAGTAGGCTTGTTTCAAAATTATTTCTAGCCAATGAGTTTTGTTTTCGTGTGCCTCATCCAAAGACAGTGCCACATTGCATCATTCCATAGAATGTTGTCATTTTGACATCCATTATTATTCTAACACAGGAAAATAGATATTTTCTAGATGATTTCTGAGTTTCTCATGTCAAGGGATGCTGGGTGTGTGTGTGTGTGTGTGTGTGTGTGTGTCTGGAATAGGGATGATATTGATATATGTAGCCACATATTTAAGAAGAATTCTATCTCATGTCATGAGGCCACAGTTTACCACTCTTCTTCGAGATTTAGCTTTAATAGTTTCAATAAAATATGGCTCTATCCTGGTCCCTCAAGCCTTTATGTTTTGGATTTTTAGGAGGTTGCAGTTGGTGTGGTAGGGTCAATTTCTTATGAACACAGGAAGGTTTATAAAATTTTGTTCATAAATCTTCTATTTTGAAAAGCTGTTTTGCATATGTGACACATACTGTTGAAGTGAAGCATTCTTTTCCCCAAAACTAAAGCTTTATATATTGATCAAGGTAATTCTGAAAGTTTAAATTTTAAATGTTATGTTATTGTTAATTGTACTCTATTATGTATTCAATAAAAATCATGGTTTATCAGTAAAAAATTAAAATGCCCATCTATTATCAGTGTTCTTTTTATTTTATCATTCTTTGTGTTTGGTGTTGGAGTGGGGTTTGTAATCACCTAATATCAATTAATTTAATATGATTATTGCCATTTTTACACAATAATAGAGTCATTAGAGTCACTGGACAGATATTTAGATTAAAAAATAAATCTATATCTCAACTCTAGGAAACGTAGTTTGGAGACTGGGAAAAGGTGTAGTAATTACTGAAAATGTCTATAATGGTAGCTTCTAAACTTGGTTCACCATCAGACTCTCATAAAGAACTTGGTTTAACAAAAAAAACCCTGGGTTTACTTCCAGAAAGTCTAATTTAGCAGGTGTAGGAGTGGGTTCTGAATCTGAGATTTTAAGTTTCTAGGTGATTCTGAAGATCATTTCAGTCTTGGAACCACTGGAATGTGTAATGGTTTTCGTGCTATTATGGATCCTCACCCTTGACTGTGGGTGTGACATGTGACTTACTTGTAGCCAGCAGAGTATGGCAAAGGTGACAGGACCTATGTAAGATTATAGTGCCCTTCCTGCTGGAGTCCCTCCTGCCTTCTCTGGCTTTGAAGACACAAACTGCCGTGTCGTGGCTGCTTTGTTGGGAGGCTCGTGCAGCAAGGACCTGAGACCAGCCTTTAGAAGCCCAAGGCAGCTGCTAGTTGACAGCCAGCAAGAAGCCCTGTAGTGGTAAGGAACTGAGTTCTGCCCATGAAAGTGGGTCCTTGGTGAGGCTGCAGCCCAGCTGGTGTTTTGATAGAGCCACAGGAGATTCTAAGCAGAGAACCCCCTAGGGCCTAGGCGCTCAGGCTCTTGACCCACAGGAACTGTGAAATCAGCAATGTGTGTTATTTGCAACCACAGGTTTGTGGTGACTTGTTACACAGCCAGAGAAAACTAATACACTGATTTAAAAAATTGATGTTACATGCAGCTACCTTATTCCTAACGGATACCTGGCGTTGCCATCTTCTCTGTCGCTGAGGGGCCCCTACACACGTTCGCATTAGCCCTGTGCCCAGCTCTCCCTCCACTGCCACTGCCACGGTGTCGGGGGCCAAGGAAGAGCCGCGTTCTCTGGAGTCCTCATTGCTCCAGAGCCACACTGATTTCCACACTGAAATGGGGAGTTTCCTCTCCCGGACTCCATGCTAGACTTGGTGCCCTGGATCGAGTGTGGCTTCTTGTGCCTCGGTGCTCACAGAGGTTTTATTGTTTGTTTTGTTTCGTTTTTTAGAAAAAGTGGAAGGGAGGGGAGGGAGGGGAAGGGGGGGGGAGAGAGAGAGAGAGAGAGCGCCCTGGATCGAGTGTGCCTTCTTGTGCCTCAGTTCTCACAGAGGTTTTATTGTTTGTTTTGTTTTGTTTTTTAGAA